CCTATTTCACCCTGTTCCCCGCAGTCCACTTTAGCTGGTTCCACGACTCCCCATAATATCTCATCTCTCAACATGATCTCCAACGTATCACCCTCGGAAGTCAAATTCGTCGTATCTCATTCAGGTTCCACCGAAGCAACGGCCTCCTGGGAAATACCACTCAAAGGTCTCCTCAGCATGTATCCAATCCATATCTATTTTCTTCAACTAATTTGTCGAGCTACAGGTTCTCGGCTGATTTGTTGCACTACTGATGAGTTCCTTGCTGCTAATCCTTTCTCAACGGCCATCCAATCTTCAACAGAGAGCCCACGAAGACAGCTATTGATAAATGTCTGTTATTGCATGTTGGAAATGCTTCTCATCACGCTCACAACAAGTCTCTGAAACCACATAGAAGAACTGATTTGACTTGAATTAGTACTGAAGATACGATGTTGTGCTTTATACTGTGTGCAGGAGATTCTCACACTGATTACATATGAATGAAGGTTTATCTTGTCTTTCGGATCCTGCCTTTGACATTTTCATTTGTGGCGTCTGTAGTTGAAACCTTGATGCCTAGATAAGTGAAGGAGGTGATTTCCTTTAGATTTCCGCCGTTGATTGGTGCCTGTATTTTAGTCTTATTATTGAGTATTAGAACTCAATGGTACAGAACAAATTTTTTTTGTATTGATCAGGCTATCGACCGCACTTACTGTAAAACGGAATAAAATACTGTGGTGAGAGCTATCTGATAGCCAAAATTGGTAGACAGTAATTTACGTCAATGTTTATGTCCTCAATATTGGTCGTGAGAAAAATAAGAACAAAGGCTTTGTGTAGGCGGATACAGTTAGCGTATAGATGATCTGACATTCAAGGAACAGCCACAAAGAGATGCAAGGTTAGCTTTCAGTGGGAAACAACCAATCAGAAGACTGTGTTTGTTTACTTACAATAATCTATAATAATGTACATGAAAATCTATAAATACGTGTTGATTTCGTAAATAAACCATCTGTTTCCTGGCCCTTGTCTTTTGTTGTTACAATACTACCCAGCTGCCTAGGCTGAAGTAGGTGGTGCGGTGCGATGCAATGCGGGAATCGAACTGGATACTGATTGGTTGAAAATGCTGGAATCGCTAAATTAGTCCAATAAAGCAAAATCTCTTCAACAAATGTGTTTGATCAAAAGAAGAGTATTTTCTAAAATCGTCGTGTTTTAAGAAAAAAAATTTAGTCTGGCCGCATTAGATAAGGCACAAAGGAAAAAAACTAAGCATATTTCGATAAAACAAGAAGGACAAAAATTGACAGTATAAAATGACGTCATTTTTACTTCGCTTGGACTATATATAGATAGATATATATATAAGCTGTGAAATGTGTATCAGTTTAGACAACGATGGAAAAGAAAAAAGATGAAAATTATACCCCAAATAGTAATAGTAAACAGCTATTAAACAAACAAACAAAAAAACGAAGAAAGAAATAAAGTAATTCGAAATTTTTGTTATACAATAAAACAAACCAAAGAAATTATAGCTTACATTGACTTTGTCCAATTCAAAATGATAGATTTTAAAACTTCTCGACTCAAACTGAACATATCGATTAGACAGTGGAAGAAATTCATGCAATAATGCTTATTTTTGTTTTATTTTTATTTTGGACCTGATGGAATGACTCCAGAGGTATTTAAGTACGGTGGAGACAGTTCCCTGTCTGCATTAACTGAGACACTAGGCAGCGTCTGGGAATCAGATAAGTCCCGTCGGGTTGGTGTAAGTCACTGATTGTCCCCATATACATGAAGGGAGACAAGTCTTCCTGTGATAATCACAGAGGGATTAGCTTGACTAATATAGTATCTAAAGTCCTAGGCTCAATAATCATGCGTAGACTGAGTGGTGCTCGGGAGGCACAAACACGAGAGAGCCAGGCAGGCTTTAGACCAGGAAGAGGGTGTATTGATCATATCTTCACCCTCCGACAGATTCTAGAACATACGCATTCCTACCGGCGTCCAACAGTCATTATATTTCTTGACCTAAAGGCGGAATTCGATTCTGTCGACCGAGGGGTTCTCTGGAGATGCTTGGCTATAAAGGGAATGACGAGAAAATACATTGCACTGACCAAGGAACTCTACTAGTACTCATACAGCCAGGTGAGGGTTTACGGCGAGTTGTCATCTGAAGTGGTGACAACTAGTGGTGTCCGTCAGGAATGCCCATTATCCACATTTCTATTCAACTTCATCATAGATGTACTAATGGACTTAACCCTAGGTGACTTCAGCGACTCAGGGGTTGACTTGTCACCATCAGAGAATAAACTCGTTGACCTAGAATATGCAGGCGATATACTCCTTCTAGGCGAGGACGCTGACAAAATCCAGCAGAGTATTCTGAACGCCTTGAGCTACAATCTACGAATGTTTGGCATGCGATTCGCTCCTACTATCAAATGTAAGATGATGTTACAGGACTGGACTACACCGACTCCTAGTTTAGAAATAGGTAGAGAAGTGGGGTAGAGCACGTTGACCGCTTCACTTATTTGAGAAGTACCATCAGCCCAAACGCGTTGATCTCTGACGAAATCCCAGCTGATTACGGATACAGAGGGCTAGTTTCGCACATGCCACTTTACGCCGTCCCTGCCTTAGTAGACATGATATCCGGCTGGCTATCGACCAAAAGGGCGGGTGTACTGCTCATCAGTCCGCTCCATCCTCCTTTATGGCTGTGAGATATAGCCATTGACAGTAGAAGACATGAAAAGCCTGACTAGCTGTCTTTGATCATAGGTGCCTCCGTTCTATCTCCCATGTGAAGTGGTATAATAAGGTGACCAATATTGAGGTTAGGCGTCGAATGCTAGGTAGGTGGGAGGGGAAATCAATCGACGAAGCTGTGAAGCTACATCGACTGAGATGGTAAGAACATGGGTTACGTATACATAATCATCGCCTTCCTGGACAATGGGCAATGTTAGCTGACATAGGGTCAGGCTGGAAAAGACCTAGCAGCGGTTAAACCAAAACATGACCTCATCAGTCAATGAAATCCACAACAGTGAGTTTAAGCCACATAGGAAGGTGTAGACTTCCTGACTGGTTGGGGTCCTCGAGACAGTAAAATCCAATGGTTGGAAACAATTGATGATATGGCTCAAAGTGATCGTTCTCAATGGCCAGCGCAGATGCATCCACCCCTTATGACTTCTGACTGCCAATGAAACTATATTGTTCTTCGTTATTACTATTCCTTTGTCTCAAACTTGTGATTACTGTCTCTATTATGCATTTCTTTTAATTTTTTCTCTTGCTTTGTGTGCTACATGGAGCGAGTGTGGCGACTAGAACTGGCGCACATTTGTGCAAAGTTCTATGTCGAAAACAGACAGACATTTTTGTTTTGTAGATCAGTCTCCCATAGCTTCTAACAAATCAAATCTTACTCCATATTAGTTTGTTTATTAGGTATAGCACACAGTGAAACAGTATTTATTTACTGGATGACATAGTTTCGAACAAAATTTATTGTTTATAATCATATCATATCACAATTGATATGATTATGAACAGTAATAAATTTTGTTCGAAACATCATCGAGTAAATAAATACTGTTTCACTGTTTGATATATCTAATAAACAAACTAATATGGAATTACTTACTACCACAGTGCTCAAGTTTTACACATATACAAATCTTACTCCAATTAACTTACACAAAATAGACAGAAATTCAACAGACAAAAGTAAACTTTCTTTCGCTTAAAGATGTATACATATTATTTAAGAAAACACAAACAAGGCGGGGGGCGGCAGGTGTAATCTTCTGCAATAAAGCACATTATGCTGAAATAATCAGAACTGATTTGTGATAGATTCACAATAACTAGAAACAAAACTTTTAAAGTACTTTGTAGTTTACCTATTGCCCAACTATGTAACATATTTGTCAGGAAAACGAGTATATGTTCAAACCAACTCAGACCGAATTACCCAAGTGTAAGATAAGCGTAGGAATTTCCTTTCCAGTCAGTGAGCTTTAATGTATTCCTCACTATCTCTCGTCAAATTATATTTATATATATATTTTTTTATTACACCTTGATTCCACACCGTATTTTTGGTACAAATATGGAATTTTCAGCAAGGATATCGGTAACCCAAATTTCGCAGGCCGACCATAGATATCAGGTGTGCGTCGGCGTGGGCTCGAACCTCGGACCATGTGCATGGTCGGCGAGACTCCTAACCACTGTGCCACCGACGCACACACACACAGACAGAGAGAGGTGATAAAGATACTTAAATGATCACAGTCAACGGCGGAAATCTAAAGGAAATCACCTCCTTCACTTATCTAGGCATCAAGGTTTCAACTACAGACGCCACAAATGAAGATGTCAAAGGCAGGATCCGAAAGACAAGATAAACCTTCATTCATATGTAATCAGTGTGAGAATCTCCTGCACACAGTATAAAGCACAACATCGTATCTTCAGTACTAATTCAAGTCAAATCAGTTCTTCTATGTGGTTTCAGAGACTTGTTGTGAGCGTGATGAGAAGCATTTCCAACATGCAATAACAGACATTTATCAATAGCTGTCTTCGTGGGCTCTCTGTTGAAGATTGGATGGCCGTTGAGAAAGGATTAGCAACAATGGACTCTGGAATGCTGCATCAGATTAACCAGTAACCTGTAGCTCGACAAATATGCGGGAGAAAATGGAGATAGAGACATGCCAGACAGATACTTGAGAGGAATCCGAATGGGAAACGCCGAGTTGGTGTGGGATCAGAAGGTGATATGGAGGTTGTGATGCAAAACAGGGATGAAAGTTTATGAGCGACTGTGGTGCCAGGTGAAGATGATCTCAGAGAACAGGGTACAATGAAGATGTGCTGTAGGGGTGCTATACTTCACCTAGGAGAGAAGCGAATAATAATAAAATTATATATATATATATATATATATATACTATAAAAGCAATTACCGATTTCATCGTCTGTCTTCCGTCTGAACTTGATTGGTTAGTTTCATTGTTTGTTTGAACCGATGTTTCATTCGACTGACTGTTATCATCAGTATTCCAAATGGGCCACCACGGACAATTCACTTGATATCATTGATGATAATAATAATAATAACAATGATGAAAAAAAGGGGTAAGTGAATTATAATTATTAAAAAGGACAAAAGTAGAAAACAGTCTATTCGGAAATACACCTAGTTTAAAAGTATATGAATGATAATTACGAGTGAACTTCTTATAAATTTATTCCAATACATTTTGAATTCGTCAACACAATACTCACGATCGATAATGTATTCACTTAAACTAGACCATTTTAACAGATAAGACTTGTGGTTATGCAAACAACATATAAGTTAGGTAAAATTCTTATTCAGAAATACAAGATGTAGTAATTAGTGAATGAAAGTGAAGGCGAAAGCCTGATTCACTGAAGCTTCCCATTCAGAAGCATCGGGATGAATAGATATGAAACTAAGTCCGCTCATCGAATATAATCCCAGAGAAATACACTGTGTTGGCAAACTAAAAAGAGCTGAATAAAAATACCGTATATATTAAAATTTCAAGGGTTAGTTTGTGGGGATTTCATTTATTTCAGGTTCAACCATGGACAGCTGTGTTGAAAATCAATCTGATGCTCGTTAGTGACGGACTACAGGATGAATTCACCTACAGATCTAGTGAGAAGTTGTGACCAATGGGGTCCATCCAGTTAAGAGTGACGAAAAATACACGCCGATGACATTGACTGATAGTCGCGCTAAAATCACGAATCATTAAAAGTTAGAATTCAATAGCAATTCAGTTGGTTCTCAGTCGCTGAATGGTCTACAAGCCTACCCTGAAACCGGAGGATCCCGAATTCGGATCCCAGTGGGTGCGCACCACACGTGAGTCCCAAGCTACGAAGAAACAACTGTCCACTACCTCCTTAATTCCAATGGTCCTTCAACTGATATTTTAGATAGATGAAGTAGGAGTAATTCGAAAATTGAGCACTAGTCTTAATCGCTGCTAGATGTCATTGAGGAAAAATAACATCTGAAATGAGAATCAGTAGCACTGTGATAAACAAATGTCAGAGAGATGGAGGTCAATAACTCACTCACCGAGTAATAAATCACTCCGCAAACTGTGAAGTTACTTAATTTAGATGCATTTGAATAATAAGTGTCTTGCAAAATAAACTATACGATGGGACGCATAGGTCTTAGAGTAGGGTGTAAAGTTAGTAGTAATGTCAGGCAGATAAAAAAAGCACTACGTAACAAGGTGGGATAGATGATGAAATGGAGTTTAACATAGTAAAAATATGTTGATATGGTGAGTTCTCCGTATCTCATGGTATCACTCAATGGCTAGGTGAAATACTGGAGTTAATTTATGGACAATTATCTCAATTTTCTACTTGTGATGTATTTCATCTTTTAGGTTATCAAGGATTTTAATGTCTCAGGCAAAGTCATGTTCTCATTCGATGTGGAACAGCATAGACGAAGTTGGAGAGATGTGTCACTTGATATGATTATGAGCAATAAGTTGTGCTCAAGATGTCAACAGTGAATATTACTGTATAACCCTGTGAGACTTTATTAAAAATAAACGTTACCACTGGGTTAATTGAGCTCTCAAATGATTTCCTGTAGGAAAGTTATGGATACTTTGATTGAACACTAGTCAGTTAGTAAGCAATTTCATGCGTTTAGTCCTTGTTGTTGGTTCAGATTAAATTCTATCATAATCAGATTTTCAAGTGTTGGTTTGTAGAGATTTGATTGGTTACAGGATTTCATCATGAGCTGACATTAGCTAGAGAACCATTGGAAAACCTGCAGAGAGTACTGGGCAGCTGTGTCGTCCTAATTTGGGGCTCTTCATCAGTGCGCATCCACCGGGATTCGAACCAGTACCTTCTGGTTGCAAGGCGAGCTCGTATACCATTAAGCCACTGTGACCCGACCCAATGGCCCATGAATTCTAACTTCTGCCAATTCACGACATAGCGCGACCCCTACGGGCCATCGGACCGGGTCCCAGTGGCTCAATGGTCTATGAACTCGCCTTGTAACCAGAAGGTCCTGGTTCGAATCCCGGTGGGTGCGTACTGTTGAAGAGCCCCAAATTAGGACGACACAGCTGCCCAGTACTCTCCGCAGGTTTTCCAATGGTTCTGTAATTAATGTCAGCTCATGATGAAATCCTGTAAATAATCAGGTCTGCTAGGCTTCCTGCCAATTTCCTCCAACCATCTAACAATATTTATGTTTCCAGGCGTTAACAGTTCTACAGGTAATCGTTACTAAGCGATGCTCATCAGTTGGTGTTTCTAAATGCCGAGAATTTCATTCTGTATCACAAGTACCGTTTTGGAATAAAGCAAATTATTATTATTATTAAATTGCGTAAGACTGCTTGATCAAGTTTCTTAACTAATGCTTTTCTTTTCTGTTATGTAATCTTTTATATTTTGTTACAAAATGATTTTAACAGTTGACCTTTATGGGCGTTCCCGTGACCTTTCAAAATACTATACTATACTAAAGTGTACAGATTATATATAAGAGCAGTTATGAAATGACTATGATTTAAAAGTAAATTCACTTTCATTTACAACCAATATACTACAACGCTAAGATTTCACCAATTATGTCTTTACTTTCATTTATTCGCTTAACACGATGAGGCGTTAGTAATCAAAACAACAAACACCATAAATAAGATTGACATACTAGTAGTAAGTTGTAGACATGCATTTCTGGTTTTACTCGACCAGTCACATTAACTTTTTATTGAGTTTTTCTGTGATTCACTGATTAGTCTTCCGAAGGGTTTAATTTGAATGTTGAACTTTGCCATACACACACACACACACTCCTCATTCTCTATGCAACACTACGGGCGTAATTGTGTTACTTGCTTGTTCTTCTAGTCTCCTACAGCTGAACTAGACATGACCTTATCAACTATATTGGCCTGATGATTTATGTGTCATTATTTAACTATTCAAGTAGTTCACAGTCTTCAATGCTCAATTTATTGCCTTCAGGTTTTAGTCTCCTCTTAAGCAGTAGGGTAAATAGTATACGAGAATAGTAGTAGTGTAACGACAGAAGACAAAGGCCGGGCAACGGATCGTCTACTGAGAAGAACATAGCACTCACGACAGTAGTAGTAGTAGCATAAGTTTTGTACAAATGCTATTAGTTTATGAATCTGTTATCAATGAGAATCAATACTACTCGATTGACTCCGAGGTAGATTTTGTCACCGAACGATAATTATCAGTGAATTATGGAGAACAAACCCCCATGTGAGTTAAGTGTTTCGTCTTCTTCAGGTCGTGGAAGGAGTGAATAAGATTTCTTTTCCAAGGAAATAGCCATTCATTTATAGAAATTAGTCACTTCATACATTTATTTCCCTTTGATAAATTTGAATAAAGCAAGAACAACAGGTGAGGTTTGTGCAGAATAATATGATGCCATCCTGTCTTTATTTCGTTGGCTTCTCATCAGCTGCTGCTTGAAGCCTAAATAAATTATGAGATTTATGCACAGAAAAGTCTTAACATACTTGCAAATTTTTTTCATGATGTCAGTTGACAGAAAGTTCCACAATTAGTGAACAGTGCTGAGAAAATTGTGCTTTTATAGTTTTTACACAGACAGTTCAAGTTTAAACAAAAATAAATGTATACATACAATGGTAAAGAAGTTACATAATAAAGATGAGAGAAGCGTTAGATGCTGAGTGACTAATAAATTAAGTAACAATGTACTGAGTCTAACTCAAATCACAGAAACAACAGACAATCAAAATTACACTACATCAAAGGGTTGAGGTTAAAGCCAAAGATTATGTAATCAAATGAAAGAAAGAACAAAGACATCCAGTTGCCAGGGCAAAGAAAGACTAATAACTGCTTCTTTCTGAATACATAAATCTGGTGATCTCCAGTAGGTATCAAAGTCACCAATAGCTTAACTAAGCTGAGTGTTTTCAAGCTTTGACGCTGATTATTCAAATGCATCTAGATTAAGTGACTTCACAGTTTGCGGAGTGATTTATTACTCGGTGAGTGAGTTTATTGACCTCCATCTCTCTGACATTTGTTTATCACAGTGCTACTGATTCTCATTTCAGATGTTATTTTTCCTCAATGACATCTAGCAGCGATTAAGACTAGTGCTCAATTTTCGAATTACTCCTACTTCATCTATCTAAAATATCAGTTGAAGGACCATTGGAATTAAGGAGGTAGTGGACAGTTGTTTCTTCGTAGCTTGGGACTCACGTGTGGTGCGCACCCACTGGGATCCGAATTCGGGATCCTCCGGTTTCAGGGTAGGCTTGTAGACCATTCAGCGACTGAGAACCAACTCAAAAGTCCATGAATTCAGTTGCATTTTGACTAACTAGTTTTGTTTTACAGTAGTTGTTTTGTGTTTAGAAACCCACCTTGTCAGCATAGATGCTTAGCGGCACTGTTGAGGTAATCTTGAGTTTCTGAGGTTATTATTTTTGAACAGAATAAAATGTAGATTCAATCAAGAATAATCCCTTTTTTGTTCTGCGAGTGTTTTGTGTGCATTTCAAGGGAGTTTGTCAACTATACAGTAGGCCGCAGAAATCGGCTTCTCGCGTTCAAACTACAACGAGTAGATTTTGGTCGTAACACTTGTGAACAGCAATATTCCTGTTTGTAAGCCGCTTACAGTTTTAATGACAAACATTGATGGGCGGCATTTATCACTTAGTGTTTTTAGATTACATAAGCCTACTCAACCAAGTCTTGCAACTTATGCTTTTCCTTCCTGTTATGTAGCTTAACTTTAGTCTAAAACTTGTTGTTGCTTTTTGGTATTACAAGATAACTAATCTACTTAGCTGTCAGCTCATGAAGAATTCCTGTAACCAATCAAATCCCTACAAACCAACACTTGAATATCAATGAGATGCTCACTAGCGACTTGCCCTATTCAGGTAGGTAGTTACTTGGAGCTCTACTGAGAAGTCGTGACCAGTAGGGTGCAGCTGGTCGGGTGTGAGGACAAATACTCGCCGAAGACATTGGCTAGGAGTCACGCTATGTTGTGAATAGGCAGAAGTTAGAATTCATGGGTCGTTGGATCGGTTCCCAGTGGCTTAATGGTATACGAGCTTGCCTTGTAACCAGGAGGTCCTGGGTCGAACTGAAACGGGGATGCGTACTGATTAGGAGTCACAAACTAGGACGAAACAGCTGTCCAGTACTCCCAGGTTTTCCAATGGTTCTCTAACTAATGTCAGCTCATGATGAAATCCTGTAACCAATCAAATCTCTACAAACCAACACTTGAATTAGATGTTAAATGTTGACATTGATCGAGACAGTATAATCTTTAACAAAATAATTTAACAAAGCTTTTTGAGAATTTAACTAACTGCAGTTCTTTTTGGCGGTGAAACATGACCATTTAAAGTCGAGGATATGAAAAGATCAACCTCATTCGATCATAGATATCGCGGTTTTACCGCCGATGTTGGATGGTATAACAAGGTGAGTAATATTGAGGTTAAACGTCGAGTGCTAGTTAAGTCAATTGGTGAGGTAGTGAAGGCGAATCCATCGAGATGTTTAGTACGTGTTACGTATGTCTAGCCATCGCCTTCCTCAACGAGAATGTTAGCTAACATTGTATCAGATTGGAAAGGAGAGCTACTGGCAGTCAAACTAAGACCTAGCATCAGCGCATGAAACTTTTAACAATTAGTTTGAGCCATGTAGGAAAGTGAAGACTGTCTGGTTGGGACCCTCAGGATTCTATGGACCAATGGATAGAGACAATTGGCAATACGAATTATGAATTTTTCTCAATAATGGTGCAGATGAGTTCACTCTTTGTGATCTACCACATCCAAAAAAGCCCTATTGTTTTCCTACGTTACTATTCTATCTTCCTCATATCTCTGTTTATTACCGTTCTCCCGAATCTCTCTTTTCTCTGTTTCGTCTCCCTTTGTGGGCTTCACAGAGTGTGATGACTAGAACTGCTACATTTTTGAGCAAAGTTCTATGCCAAAGAAAACAGTCAGTCAGCAGTTTAGATTCCATTGAAAACAGTAATTAGGTACGAGAAAAATTTCGAGTTAAGTTCCACGAAACAGCTATTCCTTTATGTTTTAGTAATCCATACGTACGAATGATGGGATTTACCAGATTGTGTGTGTGTGTGTGTGTAAACAGTTGTTGATCAGCGAAGTTGAATGGCTATGATGCTAAATCCTTAATACATAGGAATTGGAAATTAAAAACAATCACATGTCAACTTAGAGAAAAGAATGGTAATGCGTGTTTGCTTTACGCACCTGTAGGCAGGTACTGTTGAAGAGCCCGAGATCAGGACGAAACAGCTGTCCATTGCTGTTTGTTTTCAGTCATTCTCTATGTGATGGTAATTCATAATAACGATTTATCTGTATCGATGAACACTGTAAGACGAATCTAATTAACACTTTATCAAGAATTAACATTACTTTTAGTGATAGATGGTCTGAAATATTGATTTAAGAAACATCTGAAAAGAAGTAAACCATGTTTTTTTATCACATACATGGAAGATGTTGATTGATATTACATTTATGCAGATCCACCAATTTATGATCGCTTTAAGGTTCACTTATACAGATTATACACAGTAGTTTATTTACGAATACATCTCTAGGTACCCCCCCCCTCCCGCGAACACACACACCAAGCTGTCTAAAAATAGTTTTCACAATGAACAGATATCAGCAGAAAAGTTAACTGAAATAAGTTAGTACCCGATAAATGTGTACTTCTAGTCCTGGGGTTCTCACTAATGGCACGCATAGACGACACCCATGTAGAATGGAATCAACAGGTCATCAAATCCCATTTAGACATTAGGAGGTTCTTGCTACGCCACAGAATCATAGGAGTCAGACAATGTGAATCAGGGTTTTTTCAGACGTAAAAAACTGAATCATGACACTCCCACGTGTCTTGAACTCGATTCCGAGGAGAGGTAAAACGAAAAAGAAATACTCATTGCTTTCAGGCTTTAAAAAGTTGTCTGGCTGGAATGAGATTACGATTGACATAAAATGACTCTTCGAACAAAATCACACACACACACAGTTTGGAAACATCTAGTTATTTGTACTGAACATATCATTTTCAACTTATCCGTTTGTAGGAATAACAATCGGCATTTACAATAGTCATATTACGAAATCATGTTAACTAACTAAATAAAGAATAAGGAATTTCCAATCTTACCTGGAGCACCAACGAACACTTTGCTTACAGATGTGGGTGGCAAAAATTCTGCGAAATTCGCATTCCCAGTGAAGTGTTTATTACACAGACCATATGTAAGCGGGAGAAGTGCAGGGAAACGACTTGTCCAATAAGCTGCCATACCTTCATGATTATGACCGAAAATAGCACGAATATTTTCTGGTAAAGACCATATATGATTGCGTTTATTTCGAATAGCCCGTAGAAGGTATAGAGCAGAGGTATCCTGTAGAGTGAAAAGAAGAAAGTGTGCTGATATGTAAGACAGATATACTGAAAAATTATAAAACAATTACTTGGCGTTTCGACTCTAACTGGTAACACAGACATCAATTTTCAAGAGCTGGTTTGTAGAGATTTAACTTGTTTCAGGCCTGATCATTGATTGATGCACAGGACAGCTGTTTCATCCTAGGTCGGGACTCTCCAGAGATACGCACCTACGACCTCACTCGAGATTGAGCACGGGGACCTCGGGTTGCAAGGCCACTTGAGCAAGAATTAACTGTCAGTCCATAGATTCTAACTTCTTTTGATTCACGATATTAGCTTGACCGCCAACCAATGGTCATCAGCGAGCATTTGTCCTCATGTCTAAACTGGTGGGACCCCCCACTGGTCACGACCTCTCGCTAAAACTCCAGGCAGTCTCATCCTGTAGTCAGTCCCTAGTGAGCATCAGATTAATTTCTAAGAATCGATTTGTAGGGATTTGCTTTTGTGTCAATTTTGATTACGGATAGATATCACTGGTTCCGAATGGTTCTCTGACCGACGTCAATCCATGATCAGATTTGAAAGACAGATCAGTTTATATTGGTTTGTATTACAAAAGAAAGCAAGTATGCATTGTTGCGTTACGAAATGAAGTGACTAGAAACGGTGAATTGGTGTACAGCAGTCAACGCGTCCATGGTTATGTGGTGGAATGCTCGCCAACTAATCACATGGTCCTGGTTCGATTATCGGCAGACCGAATACAACTAAACCTCGATAAGTCGACAGCGAACCCAGTAAAAAGAAAGGTTGACTGTGAGGCTAGCAACTTCAATCGGTAAAACACCACCAGCACTATTGAAAATTGAAGGCTCAAGCTTGAATCACTGTGTCACACTACGAATGACAAGAATTAACACTACCCTGTTTCCGTCGAATAGAAACACACACAGCTAACAGGAATCTCCAGAATCCAATCAAAAATGTCTAAGACAAGCATCCCGTTGTAATTAGTTCAAGTGGCTCAAAGTCATCTCTAAGTGGTGATGATCTGAACCTATGGTTGCTTTACATAGGCTTACGCCTGAGTCTTCTCGCCAATCATGACGACCCTCTTACTCGTTACTGCTATTCCATGGTTGGACCAAGTCAGTTTGCTTTCAGCCTGCACAGGCGTAACCTGCAGCAACGGTACGACGGCATAGATCCAAGGCTCGAGTGCCACTCATTTTCAGGGCAGGTTGATTCTGTTAGACAGTTGTTAAATACTCCTTAGCGGTTTTCTATTTCTGTGGCTACCGTCCTGCTATCTGGACCAACCAACACCTTTTGTGGTATCTCATGAGGTATCTTGACCGCACTTTTGGTTCATCCCACAGAGCTGCTTCTGTGCTGATCAAAAACATCCTGAGTGCGGTTGCTAGCCTCATTCCCAGATTTCCCTTGATTTTCCGTGCTTGTTAACTCTAGCGGTAGTAAACTCGATGAGGATTAGGAGTGTGTCTGCCAGGAATCTAACCCACATGCATTACTGGCGACCATTCTAAAGTTAAACCACAAACGCATAAGTTGATAGATTCTCCCCCAACTTAGATCCCTTCGCCATAATCACAGAGAAAATAAACTTTGAAAACACCTATGACCGACTATTTTTCCTCATTTAGAACAAGTAATTTATCAAATCCAGGCAAATTTTTATTCTTTAAACTAGAATGTACTGGCAATATCTTCAAACGAAAGTAAATTGTTGAAAGTATATATATTTACTAACACTTAATACTTGATAAGGAGCTGACAGTCAGCTTTATGAAGTAAAGCGTCCAGCAGTAACACCCTAATGTGAACACTAAGCAGTAATACACTGAATTATTAAAAGTATTCTACTTCAAATCATACATGTAGTTTGCCTTCTGTGCGCAAAACATATAATTCTGTAGGGTAAAACGCTGATACTTAAAATTTCCCTGAATACTTTGGGGAATATTTTGATCAGGTAAGATAGGCACATGGTCGAGGCTCGGTTCTCGGCCGATTCACTTATAAACCTCACCTAGGAAGAATGCTCTGAATAGAGGGAAAGCAGGGCATGAGCTAACAACCCCACTCCGTAGAGACAATAACACTTAGCGAAACACACACGCACGCACACAGAGAGAAAAAACGGTTACTTACTTGATAGCCCCTAGTGCTCAACAAGTCATGAACAAGTTCCGGCTCTAGTCTGGAGAACCAGTGTTTATTGAATATCCAATGTGTATAACAATCAAGTTCAGACACCATTTGTTGACAATGATATTCATTGAAACGTTTCTTAGTTAACTGTCGACATGGACTGATTTTGGCATTCTGTTGGTTTTTGCTGTTATTGTTATCAACCTTATTATTATTATTACCACTACTAATGTTATGGCTTCTGTTTAGCTTACTGCGATCAACACTACCACCATCATTATGAATAGTATTCTTTCTTGAAGAACAATCGAATAAACAATCTCTGACATCCATAACATCTGAGACTTCCTAGTCATCGACCAAAAATGAATAAAAAAGGAAAAAAAGACGAGACTTTAAAAAAAACCTATTTCACAGAAGAACAATCAAAAAATGTTATTAATCAGTAAAAAAAGGCTCAGATATACAACTAACTAGGGAAACACTTATTGAATACATAATTTAAAATTAACCTAGTTAAATAATTCTATTAAGTAGACAATTTCTATTAGGCGGGTAAGGTAAGCATGTCTAAATGCTTCTTAACGAGGTAACAGTACTGGAGAGAGAATGTTGATTAAAGTCCAAATTAAAGCAGAAACTCTAGTTCTTAGGATAAAACCAGAATTTCAAGCATTATGTATGTATATGAGGCAGTAACTTATCGAAGAAGACATTGCGAAGTAGTAAAGTCGTGAATAGATAGAAGTAAGAATTCATGAGCTGGCCATTGGATAAGGTCCTAGTGGCTTATTGATATACGAACTCGCCTTGTAACCAGAGGGTCCTGTGTTCGAACCCCGGTGGGTGCTTATTTCTGAAGAGTGCCAGACTGGGACTGAGGAAACAGCTCTTCAGTACTCTCTGCAGGTTTTCGAATGGTTCTCTAACAGATATCAGCTCATGATGAAATCCTCCAATCAGTCAGACACATCCCTACAAAACCAATACTTAAACATTATGCATACGTCAATGTATGCGAATTCTCTATTGATATTCAACGAATAGAACACTGACTGAGTTACAGCGTAGAACTTTGCACAAAAAGGCAACACTTCAAGTTGAGAGATTGAAGAGACCTATAATTGAGCAGAAATGTGAAGGATAAAAATAATAAGAGGGAAAAACACAAGGACTTAATGGATCAGAGAGATTACAGACGGTCAATGAATCCGCGTGCACCATTAGGAAGGCTTCTAAAAGCCATATTCATCAACAGTCGTTAGTCATTGGTTTTTAGCATCACAAGAACCTCACCTAAGTAGTCTACAAAATTCATAAGTGGCTGGCTGAAACCAACAGTTAAAGATTTCATAGATTCTTTACTGACCTAATCTTACGTCAGTTAACATTGCTCAACGATGAATTCCTAGCAGAAGTCAGTGTGCTATGCCGTAAACGCTTAACTTGTTGACTGAAAGTAAGACATACCTTCATATTGACTCAAACGGCCCTGATTAACGTTCAAAAATCTATCTTGAACTCATTAAGATTTCATGTTAGAGTTACAGATACCGACAATAAGTAGAGAATTACAGCTAGCTACCAACTTATGTTTCAATGTTCGATTATTAAACGTCTTACCTACTTTGTGTTACGATTCTGATACTTTTAGGTCTTAATTTGAGCCGCATTCTTTGGACATGTCAATTAAAACTCCAATATATATATATATATATATATCTTATATAAGTCACTTTTTTCGATAAGTCACAGTGTTGTACAGTAATATTAACTGATGACGTTTCGAGCACAAACTATTGCTCACAATCATATCAGGTTACTCACACAACCTTTTCCTTCATTTATTTACATGTGTGGAATTGACTAGATATTGGAATAAAAATCAATAAAGGATAATGTACATTCAGAAATAATAATATGAGTGTTATTGATCAATTACAGTCAGATGGGAAATAAGACGAGCGTTTTTTTAGTCATAATAAGTAACTTGTTAGAATGTTGTGATGTGTTTGAATTGAAATAGAATTTTGAGATTATTTCTTATCCTCCTCTGATTTGACTGACCGACGGTAATAATACCTTTCATATTTCTGGTATTTGCATTGAGTCATTTCTGTTGCATGTGTTGGGAGTAGACTCAATGAACCAGGGCTTAGTAATCAATCTCTTTCTCCACCTACATAGATTACTTCTTAAAATCTTAACCATCTCCCACCCTATTGTGTGGTTGTGTGTAGTGCAATTGCTGAGCTTTTTTCTAAATTATTTATCTTCTCTGGGTCAACCATTCTTACCTTAGCTAAATTCTTTAGCTATATCTTATCCATAATGGAGTTATACTCCATCACAGTGCCCAAGTTTTATACTTAAATCACTTTTTTAGAATATGAGTGTAGAACCAAAGTGTCAATTCCTTTTAAGATCATGAGACACAGAGGGAGATAAAAAAGGTGCGATAATCAGACATCTCATCAACACCGGTCATTCCATCTCAAAAAACGCTTCCTTTGAAGTGATCTACAAACCGAAGAACAACCTAGCAAAGACAAGACACTTTTGTTTCCTCTGCCAATTGTTGAAGGCTAAGTCACTCAACTGGAGGAACTAGAGTTATGTATACAAAAAGAAAATCATCCAACCATTTCTACTATCATGGTAACAATCATGTTGATTTCTACTGACTTGATATTTGAGTGCTTGTTTTTTTCCCTAACTCCCTCATAATATTTGTAATTTTTAGAACTCTTACATAATCCCATATTTTCCTTTATTTCTATGTGCATCCTAAACACAACTCACTCATTAAACTACTCAGCTTATTACGTAAGTGTACTGCGCTTATTCAACTTCTTTTATTTGTTAATAAATGTTGCTTTTTTTGACATATCTGAAAGCGGACCCAGAGACGACAGCAGATATGCTGACTCCATTATTCCAAAAAGTCTGCAAAGAGGGAGAGGTGCCTACTGACTGGAGGAAAGGTTACCTCGTGAAACTACCAAAGAAGGGCGACATAGGATTCTGCAAGAACTGGTGAGGAATCATGCTCCTGTCGACGCCAAGTAAAATCCTGAGTCGCATCATCCTGAAGAGAATAAAGGACGCACTGGATACAGAACTCCGACCAGAACAAGCTGGATTCAGGAAAGTCAGGCAAATCATATTCTGACCAAATCGCGACTCTAAGCATCATCACCACAGAACAAAGCATGGAATGGCAATCAAACCTCTACCTCAACTTTATAGACTTCGAGAAGGCCTTCGACAGCGTTGACCGCAAAGTAATTTGGAAACTACTCGAGTACTACGGCGTACAGTGCCCCAAATATTCATCAACCATATTCAACAGCTGTACGACAACGGCACATATCAAGTCATCCACAACGGAAAACGGAAGTAAACACAGGAGTCAGACAAGGGTGCTGACTTATTATCACCAATGATATTCTTAATTGTGCTAACCTAACTGGATTATGCGTCAGACAGTGGGAAACGAGAAGACAGGGATATCCTGGACCGATGTGAAGAACCTAGAAGACCTGGATTTCACACGTGGATGATTTATGTTTGATGTCACACAAAATCGAAGACTTAAAAGCAAAAACCGACAAACTGGTCGAAGAAGCAGACGGTGAAGACAGGACTCCAAGTGAACATAGACAAGGCGGAGACGGAGGTTATGAAAGTAACCAACCAACAACAACAGCGCCAATCACTATCAACGGGAGGGATTCGAAAGAGGTTACTTCATTCACTCACTGATCTAGGGAGCATTGTCTCAACTACAGGCTGTCGGAACAGAAGAGGATGTCAAATCGAGCGAGAATCGGGAAGGCGAAAAACACATTCATCAACCTGAAACCAATCTGGAAATCTTCGTCACTCAGCCAGCATCAACAACAAACTTCAGTCGAATTTTCAATACAAACAACGTCAAGTCAGTCAGTTCTTCTACACGGATCAGAAACTTGGCGGGAGGGTCACAGAGAATATTTCCAACAGCCTGTTGCAGACCTTCATCAACAACTGCCTTCACTGGATCTATACTGAAGATCAGACGGCCGGGCCGGAAAGAATCACCAACAATGGGAAACTATGGGAACAAATAAACAAAACAAGAACCAATCGCCGTCCAACAAATATGCAGGAGAAAGTGGAGATGGATTGGACATTCGTTGAGGAGACCGCTGGGTGACATCGCGCGTCAGGCCATTGCTCGAGTGGAACCAGAAAGGGAAGAGGCGAGTGGGACGTCAGTGCAAAGGTGACATGGAGGAGATCGTGTGAAGAGGAGTTGAAAGATTATGGACTAACATGGATGCAGGTGAAAAGTAGAGCAGAAGACATTAGAAGCAAGTGGAGACGTGCAGCTGAAGCCCTATATTCCAGTAGGAACCCAAGGGAACAATAATAAAATAATATAATTGATAACATATCACCACATAACATCTATTACCAATCTTCACCCTCCCTCTCCTAGTTACAATCTGATTATTCATCACATTTCTAAAATATCTTGACAACATTAAACGCTAACTTATTTTTATTCTTATCGGATATGTCTAATGTACTTACTTACAAATATACAAAAATAAGTGTATATGCAACTGCGATTGTACAGCTAAGTGAATGAATTCACCACCGAAAACAGACTTTTCGCTGAACTATGTGTTTTGTTTCTCATTTCATGTCTGGATGGGAATTATTCGTAAATTAACAGAGATTTTTAAAAAGAGTTCAGCTTTCTAGTTCTCATATTAAAAATTCAATACAACTCTTCTCTTTTAATGAAATATGGATATATGTAGTAAAAAGAAGAAAATAGCAATGATAATAATAATAATAGCGGCAATAGCCTTACTCTCGATTATACGTTTACATGCAGTACGGGTGTTTTGAGTTAAATACTTATTAAACGGTATGTCATTTTACCTAAAACACGCTTCATTACTAAAATCACTTTTCATTCATTTACTTTCAAAAGTGCATAGCAGAAGGCTGACAGCCATTTTAAAAAAATGGCGCGTGGAACTCAAGGACGAAATCAAATGGGTAAAAAAAAAGGTGTGAAAAAGACTAAGGCTGGATAAATCACAGTACTGGGAGTTTTATGTAGACAATTTTAATTTGTTATTTGCAGGTGAACAACACCACGTAGAAGTATTACTTGACAATTAAAATTGTTATGATTATGCGATTGGTCATAAGCTTTCATTGCCTCCTCACACACATACATACCACTCTCACACCCATGTCTGATTTCACTTGAGGATACGCCTTGTGCGTGTTGTCACTCGACAGTCTCCTAAGTGTGTATCCAAATCATCTGCATACTTGTTGGGCAATAGGTTCACGGTTGGTTCATCGCCAGAGATCGGTATGTAGTAATTTATAAGTCTCCACTAAGATCACTAATCAAATTAAAGTCATAGAATTATGAATTTTTTAGAATCAAATCGAATTCAAGCTGGCATTCGATTCTGTCGACCGAGAGGTGCTCTGGCGATAAAGGGAATGTCGAGAAAATACATTGCACTGATTAAGGCATTCTAATCGAACACATGCTGTCAGCCAGGTGAGAGCTTAAGGCGAATTGTCAACCGAAGTGGTGACGACTAGTGGTGTCCGTCAGGAATGCCCATTATCCCCATTTCTATTCAATTTCAACATAGATGTACTAATGGATTTAACCCTAAGTGACTTCAGCGACTCAGGGATTGACTTGTCACCATCAGGGAATAAACTCGCTGACCTAGAATATGCAGGCGATATACTCCTTCTAGGCGAGGACGCTGATAAAATCCAGCAGAGTATTCTGAACGCCTTGAGCTACAATCTACGAATGTTTGGCATGCGATTCGCTCCTACTATCAAATGTAAGATGATGTTACAGGACTGGACTACACCGACTCCTAGTTTAGAAATAAGAAGTGAATTGGTAGAGCACGTTGACCGCTTCACTTATTTGAGAAGTACCATCAACCCCAACGCCTTGATCTCTGACGAAATCCCAGCTGATTACGGATACAGAGGGCTAGTTTCGCACATGCCACTTTACGCCGTCCCTGCCTTAGTAGACATGATATCCGGCTGGCTATCGACCCAAAGGGCGGGTGTACTGCTCATCAGTCCGCTCCATCCTCCTTTATGACTGTGAGACCTGGCCACCGAGAGTGGAAGACATGAAAAGCCTGACCAGCTGTCTTTGATCATAGGTGCCTGCATTCTATCTCCCATGTGAAGTGGTATAATAAGGTGACCAATATTGAGGTTAGGCGTCGAATGCTAGGTAGGTGGGAGGGGAAATCAATCGACGAAGCTGTGAAATTACATCGACTGAGATGGTAAGAACATGGGTTACGTATACATAATCATCGCCTTCCTGGACAATGGGCAATGTTAGCTGACATAGGGTCAGGCTGGAAAAGACCTAGCAGCGGTTAAACCAAAACATGACCTCATCAGTCAATGAAATCCACAACAGTTAGTTTAAGCCACATAGGAAGGTGTAGACTTCCTGACTGGTTGGGGTCCTCGAGACAGTAAAAACCAATGGTTGGAAACAATTGGTGATATGGCTCAAAATCGTTCTCAATATTTAACGCAGACGCATCCACCCCTTATGACTTCTGATTTCCAATGAAACTATGTTGTTCTTCGTTATTACTATTCCTTTGTCACACACCTCTGTTTACTCTCTGTATTATGCATTTCCTCTACTTTCTTCTGTTGCTTTGTGTGCTACATGGAGCTTGGCGACTTGAACTGCCGCACATCGGTGCAAAGTTCTATGTCGAAAACAGAGAAAATCAAATAGTTAAATTTAGGAAAAAAACAAACAAACAATTAAACAGCACATCTTACCGAAAAGAAACGAATCACTTTATTCGGTGACCAAAACAATGGATAATAGGTGATCTCTTCAGCTGTAGGTCGACTATCAGGATCTGATGACAGCATTGTTTGAATGAGATAACGAGACAGATAGCCTACAGAGGAGAAAATTAATAATAACAATAATAAGTATCAAATAAAATTTTCTCGATAATCAAAACATTTTCACTTTCTTCTCAGCCAATCACAGTCTAGCCAAGAGATTTTTAGCCCAGTGAATTGAACCTGTATGGACAAACACTGACGAAATGTCATTATCAAAAGGAAACAACTGAGTATTTTTTTATTATCATCGCTGACTGGTATATGATATGTGTGTGTGCGCGCGCACAGAATCTTCAGGGGAGTTTATTGCATGATATTCTCCCTTTGTATAACATCTTCAAGCAAAATATTAACTGATAATATATCCTGTGACACAATGGCCTCTGAGCTGAAACACTAACTGCTCCATTATGATATACCTTTTATTTATTTAAACGCATAAAAACTTGGTACAATATGGCACCAAGAAGGATGCGCCACACAATAATAATAAAACAACATAGATCAAAAGAAAAAAAGAAAGAAGAGAAATATATATATATATATATAAGCAGAGAACGGATAAAGAACTTCATCTGGAAGGAAAACAGTCACACTTAACAGGTTCAAACAGTATTCGTTAACTATCATCAGGAAGGGAAGAAAGAAGGAAATAGCAACACGTGTAATAGCACGCGATAAGTCTCATTGATTGTTTGTTGCTTCATCCAATTCATTGTGTGAGGGCTGAGATACTGCCCGGGCGCCCAGATCGAAGCAGGTGGTTTTCTTAAGGGACCAACCCACGAGCCTTCGACTTGGAGTCTAATCCGAAAGGCAGAGGAGCAGCGTCAGGAGCTGCATTCTCATGGTTTCCGGTGATCCATATGGGTTCATACGCCATTTGATCGATTGCATACTGGAGCCCAGGTACCCCATGGTAACTGTTTTTAGTTTAACCGCTATCCAAACAACCTTCCTGACATGATAGGACCTGGAGGGACATGAGTTCCAGTCAGTTTAGTATGTTGGGTCATTACGGTATTCAAGCCCGACCACCACGACAAGGTAGCAATTATCGGCCGGGTATGATATACCTGCTTTGTGTCCTTCAAGTAATCCACGAAATGTGGTTGCAAGCCATTCGTGAAATGTTCAGAAGTACATTTTGAGACCCAAGGACATAAATGAAGAGAAGTTATCTCATGTATTGGCATAGGTTGCCACCCACAATCAGGCTATTCCTCAAGTTTAGTAGGAAGTTGCGAATCAGGAGCTTGCAAACATTTTGCATACACGCACAAGAGTAGGTAATACTAATGGAGGTCATATCTAACCCGATTAAAACAAACCGAACGAGAAAAGATAGATGCAACAGAGAGATGGAAGTGTTTAGTAGCCCAAGTTTTAAGCAGGCCGCCAGCGTATTCCACTTGATGTCATCAATACCGAATACCAGTATATATGCTAGCATCTACTTTTCTAACACCTTCAAACACTGTTCAGATTTTAGCTTTGCTACCGACATGCCAATATGTTGTTGTCATAACTAACTGTGATTACCCTAATCTATGTAGAACTTTATTTATTGTTAATGTACTAAGTGGATGCAATACTGTAGTGAAATGCTGAGAATTCCATTCTGTATCCCAAGTACTGTGTGTGTGCGTCGGTGGTACAGTGGTTAGGACTCACGCCGACCATGCACACGGTCCGATGTTCGATCCCCTCTCGACGCACACCTGATATCTATGGTCAGCTTTCGAAATTTGGGCTACCGATATTCATGCTTAAAATTCCATACTTGTACCAAAATACGGTGTGAAATCAAGCTGTAATAAAAAATAAAATAAATTAAAGTAAATTATTATTATTATTCGACCGTTCTGTTTACGAAAGGTTCCTCATTACAACAGAGAATGACAAACAGGATAACAGAAGATGAATTTCCGAACTGATTCTACTTAGTCTTCTAAATGTGATAAGACTATAATTATGCAAATTTTAATTTTAAAATGAACAATATCACTGTCAACACCTTTCCAATATACATTTGTTACTGTTTCAACTTTCTACTACTATTAGTAGTAAGTAGTATGAGTTTATATTTCTTTTCTACGTCGGTATTCTATAACTATGACTACTGTCTTCTTTTGGAATTTATCTCACTCAATGCATAAACAATCTATTCGATGTGTAGTAATTACCCTCTTACGATTAGAAGGTATCTGCTGTGCATGCTTTATTTACATTCCACTCTTTGTTGAACATCATTGAATGAAATCTCTGTATTCGTAATCTGGATATTCACGTGGATCACTCTTGACACAGTTCTGTTAATGTTTCTTATGAATCACAGTGACAGTGCATTTGAGGCCGTTCAGTGCCAGACACTGTTAGGAAGAGGCGAAACACATGCAATTATCAGGTCATTATCATGTCTCAGTCAAGTTATTATCGCGTTATCAACAAGTCGTTGACATGAAATTATCCTGCTTCCTGATTGGACGCTTGCACAATTCCAACTCTCAACCGGATTGGTTGATTTCCAGTCTACCTTATTTTCTGTATAAATACAGTCACATTTGTCGTAATAAATGAACCTGGTTTTACCGCTGATTCTCGCGTGTTCTGCTTTACCAGTTATGTGGGCACTGGTCAGTAGTTAAGCAGTGACCTCGTGACAAAAGATCTAGCATCATAACAGACACCATACAATTTGAGTTACACATCCTGTGTTCATTATGTTACACACAATGTAGTACCGTACTTTAAATAATGCACTAGATGCAGAACTCTACCCACAACAGAACAAGCTGGATTCTGGAAAGGCATGTCACATGTTGATCAAACCGCAACTCTACGTATCCTCGTCACAGAACAAAGCATAGAATGGCAGTCAAGCCTATACTTCAACTTAATCGACCTCAAAAAGGCCTTAACCAGCCAGCGTTGACCGAAAGGAAATGCGAAAATTACTTCAACATTACGGCGTGCAGTGCCTGAGTTTTTATCAACCTCATTTTACAGATGGCTACATGACTGTACCACGTGCCAGGTGATCCACAACGGAAAACTCAGTAAAGCGGTCTAAGTGAATACAGGAGTAAGACAAGACTACCTGCTTATTATCATCGATGATAATCTTAATTGTGGTGAACTGGATTATATGTCAGACTGTGGGGAGCGAGGAGAGAGAAACACGCTGGACCATCTATAAGAAGACTCTAGAAGATCTGGATTTCGCACGTGATATGTGCCTAATGTCTCATAATCTCGAAGACTTACAGGCGAAAACGAATAAACTGGATGAAGAAGGAGTGCAGCGAAGACAGGACTCCAGGTAAACATAGAGAAGATGGAGGTGATGAAGATAACCAACGAACCGTAGCAATAAAACAACCAACACCAATTATAATCAACGGGAGATATAACAGAGGCTACTTCCTCCACTTATCTGATTAGGAAGCATCGTTTCAACCACAGGTGGACAGCACGGACGAAGATGTAAAAAATTGCCAACCAGAACTGGAAAGGCAAGATACGCCTTCACCAACCTAAAACCAGTTTGGAAATCTGCACTCAGCCAGCATAAACAAGATGAATTTGTATTTTCAATACAAATGTGAAGTCAGTTGGTCAGTCAGTTTTCCTAAACGGGTCAGGAACTTGCACTGAGCATCACCAAAAGGATCTCTAACAGGTAGCACGCTTTTACCAATAGCTGCCTTCGCTGGCTCCATGCTGAAGATTAAATGGCTATGAACAAACCAACCAAGAACCGACTGATCAACAAATACGTAGGAGAAAATTTAGATGGATCTGGCATACGTTGAGGAGGCCGTCGAATAATATTGCGCACAATGCAGACCATCGCTCGAGTGGAATCCAAATGGGAAGCGACGAATGAGTCGTCAATGTGAGGAGGATATCGTGTGAAAAGGAGATGAGCGATTATGGGCAATCATGGACCCAGTTGAAGAGGACGGCAGAAGATAGAACAAAGTGGAGGTGTGTTGTTGAAGCCCTATATTCCACAAGGAACCCAAGGGAATAATAAATAATGTAATATATACTTTAGACACACCCTGTTTTTTTATTATACGCGTAACTCACACGTTTGATTAATTTAATCAACCGTAATCATCGCTTGGGATTATTTCTTAGAGGAAAGCAAAGATCACATTGGAGCCAAAAGTAATTTATTACAAGAGACAATTATCCTAGTTTATAACAACTGGGTTTTGTGTACTTCACAAGTTGACGTTAATCAGTTGTGAGAGTAATTTTGTTAAATAAAGAAGGAATATAAAATGTGGTAACCCCTTCCTTCCAACATTTTCTGGCAACAAATTTGCATTTTACTCAATCTACACAGTTGCAGGTGGGATTCCACCAAAGTTTCTATTGGATCATATTTAATTCCTACAAACTACACCAAGAGAGCAGCACAATTATCTCCCCTAAAAAGCCATATCGAAACTAATATAAGAGATACCACGAGAAATTGGTAAACTGTTGATTCTTGAAGGCTAGGTAATGCATTTGCCATATAAGGTTAAATGAACACAGTCACATTTGAATTACAGAGATTGTAATATAGCCCTTAAAACATTGAATATAGCGCAGTTATACTGTCTATTCACGATTCGACCGGAATAAATATTTAAAAAGCAACAGTTATCGTGCAGGTATAAATTGGTTTTCGAAAGTTGGTCTGTATTAAAAATTAGGAATAGACGAAGTCGACTTTTTAGCTACTTATTGTAGGCCGTCTAAACTTAAAGTTATCTAACGAGTTCTGCCTTCATATAGCAAAGATTAACAGAAGCCAAAGAAATAAGCTTAACCTGTGTGTTTAAAAGAAAGTTCTATAGTCTCTTTTTTCCCTAGAACACAAGTTTCCATTATCATATAAGCAATATATTATGTGGTGTGATCAAACTGTTAACATGCTGACATCCTCGAAGTAATTATTAGGTGGATTAACACCACCACATCGGCAAATTATGTAACTTCTAATAAAATATCCTTATTAATGTAGATAGGTGGATGCAGAAGCAACTGAAAA